ATCACTCATCATCTTCCAACGGGTGTTAAAGTGATCTTCGATTGAAACAATAGGTATTGAATGCTCTTCGCAAACTAAACAGTTATTGTCCTCTTGAGGTATAATCAGATCCGTTGCTTTATCCATATTTGTATTTTTGATTTATCAGTATTGTTTACATTACAATCAAATTAATGATTTTGCTCCTGTCAGCACAAGCTGTTTAAAATAGTTTCTTCAAACTGCTTAGAAGCATTTAACATTTTATATTTGCAATATTGACTTAATGTGCTTGCATTGCATAACATTTTATATGGTGTTAGAGAGCAAATAGAGTTTCATATTTAAAATAATGACAATTGTATTTGAAATAATGACAAATGACTTTGTGTGTTTGCTTTGAGACACATTTTATAATTTGCTAGGGAGTGAATAAAGATTGTTATTTTTATATACAAATTGTTGATATTTGTAAACAATAAGATATGCAGTCAAATAAAAACAATAATAAAAAGTTGGTAAGTTATTAATTTATTTAATGTCTCTGGGAAACTTACATCAAATTATCCACAAAGCAAATATACCATTTTTATACCACATAGTAGATGTAAATATCTTTAAAATCTGCTCATATAAACTTAAAAAACTTTTTTAAATTGATATCATTTTGGTCTCAACGCTCTCTCCGAATTGTCAATTCTTGTTAAATTATTTAGTACTCCCTTTCCCCCTATATTTACCGACATCATTTGTGGATGGCCTTAAATAGAGTGCTCAATATTCTCAATGAGCATTTCCAATTCTGTGTGTTATTTTTTTTATTTTTCTTTAGTTCAGCAATTAAAAGCTGGGACTTAAGGCAATTTGCATACTATATTTTCTTAAAGAACATTTATAACAAAAATATTTTTATCATATTTTAGGTTACCTGAATAAATTAATTTTTTTTTTTTGCGTAATAATATTACAGTTTGAAAATATACAATATTTTTCAAAACACTATACTGTTGCTAAAAACAATAGATGACTGCCATTTCTTATCAAAAATATATTATATATGAGTTGTAGAAGTATAATATTTCACTTGAAATACTCACAAGCATTTTCAAGTATTTACATAAAATTGATAAATTTGCAACTTCTGTGTGTGACTTCTGTGTGTGTTGTTCATTCACGAGCTGCATTTAAACATTTGCTGTAACTATGATACATATTGCAACCTTCTGGAAATCTTAAATAATAATTAAAATAATATTTTTTTAAAAATATATACTGCTGCAACTTATATTTTCAGAGGAAATAAGTTTATTTATCAAGTAACTAAACTTTGAGTTTTTCTGTTTTGCGCAATTGCGATTCTTCTTGAAAATTAATTTGTTTTTTGTTAACATTACTAATGTATACTTTTTTACAAAATATTTATATAGGTTAGAATTAAATGTTTGTTACAAAATATTTATATAGGTTAGAATTAAATGAGAGTAAATAGGAGATCGCCAGATTTATTGTTATGAAAATAATAGACTAAACTTATACGGGTTTCTGTTTGCAATTTTTTGGAAATGCCCATATAAATGTATGTATGTATGTATATATATATATATATATATATATATATATATATATATATATATATATATATATATATATATATATATATATATATATATATATGTATATATATATATATATATATATATAATATTATATAATATGCACAATAAAAATATAAATAAATTATCAAATAAAATAATTGTATTATCTTTTATCATAATAAAACTATTTAATAAGAATATATATATATATATATATATATATATATATATATATATATATATATATATATATATATATATATATATATATATATTTTCTATGCTTGGAACATATTTTTTACTGCATTTTAGCAATATTGGGAATAGTTATTGTTATGGTTCTTCAAAAATTGGGAATTTTTAATGATATTGTCCTATTACTTCAAGAAAAAAAAATAAAACATGTAAAAATTGTGTAAGTCTTTGTGTAACTCTTTTGTTTTTTTAATTAGAAAAAAGTATGATTTTAAGTCCAAGAGCTTCTAAGTCCAAGAGTCCAAGCTTCTTATACAGTTTATATAAGTTATGATGCCATAGAACTAGAAATAGAGATCTAGGTATATTTTTGTTTTTTACTTTAATGCATATTTATAGATTTATCAGCGCTTGAAATAGTTTTTCAAAGCTTGCCGATCAAATGTAATTTTTTCACAAAAATAGATTATTTTCTCTTGAATTTTCCGAAATCTCCTTAAAAATAGCCAATCATTGATTGTTGATTGGCCGTTATTTCGAGCACTGATATATGACTATTGAACAAGAAAATATATTTGAATATATACATTGCTCGAAGTGGAGGAAAAAAAGGTACGGGATGGTATTCAGTAAATTAAAAATACTATCCCGCCTAATCATTGTTATATAGAGAGATTTATAAAAAAGTGGCGGGATGGTTTATAATTTATAAAAGGTGACGGGATCGTATCCCGCCGCATCCTACCTCACTATGAGCACTGTATATATATATATATATACATATATATATATATATATATATATATATATATATATATATATATATATATATATATATATATATATATATATATATATATATATATATATATATATATATATATATATATATATATATATGTATGTATGTATGTATCAGGCCTTGTGATGAATAAAAACTGTGCGACGCACGCACGTGATTTTTGACATCATTAAATTCTTTTTATTTGCTTTTCATATTTATCGACATTAACTGCACCAATTTACTTAATGACGGCAAAACTACTTTAAATCATTAATGTAGAAATGTTATTATGTAAAATGTTTTGAAATGTTTCGTTTTTAAAAATGTAAAAACATTGGTTTATTTTCTCGACGTTTGACGCGTTTTTTGTCTACTAAACGAATAAAAAACATAACTAAACATTTAAAAAAGATTATAAAATATGCTAATATTTGATTTTCTCAAATATGTAATTTAAAGTTTTTCAAATAATTATTTTTTCTTTTTAAAAAGTCAGCGAGTAATAAACTGAAAATTTTAATATTGTACAAATAAAATCTTTGCAATAGCTAATTTTTTTACTAGCGATTTTATATAATATTTTTTTATTTATTTATTTTTATTTATTTTCATAAAGCGGTTGATAAGCACAATCACTTGTATTACTAAAAAACTTTAATGAATGTTTTAAATAGATTTTTAATGTTTACAAGGAATTTTATTTTTGGTAAAATAAAATAAAATGTTAGAATAAAAATCTTTTAGGTATAAAAGACATATTTCAGCAAAAATTTTAATAGCTTTTTACAAAAATTTTAATAGCTGTATTTTTTTATTGGATCGAGTAGAATATGTTTTAATATTAATCCTTTTATTTTTATTTGCGATTATTAATTTTTAAAATGTTTTTCGAAATTACTCTTAAATACTTTAAATACGTCTAACAGTTAATAAATATTTTTAAATCTATGGAATAATTTTAAAACCTAACAAACCCCTGTAAAATATTTAAGTTAAAAATCTAAAACTAAAAGAAAGTATTTTTGTTCAATTTTATCGACAACTTTGCTATTGCTGAATAATTTTATTAAAATGTTAGCTTAAAAAAATTTAAACTTTTTTTTTAATCTGAATTTTTTCTACTTGTAAATAATGAGCATATTTAATTTTTTTGTAATTCAAATTTTTATATCAACTGCGTGTGGTTTTTAAAATACTTTAATAAATGTTAAAATAATCGTCAATTACTTCATTAAAATTCCGCTCAAAAATATCTTTAAATATACTCAAACAAAAAATTTTTTGCTCGACGCAAAAAAATAGCCCTAGCTACACGCAAAATCGCTCTTGGACAACATAAAATTCACATCGCCCGACGCTTTATCGCAAAGCCTGATGTATGTATATATATATATATATATATATATATATATATATATATATATATATATATATATATATATATATATATATATATATATCAGGGATTTATATATATATATTAGTATTAGGGATGCAGAGTCCCAAAAAGATTCCGGCTCTATATTCCCATTTTTTTTAGGTCTGTAGTGTCTAAAAGCTCTAAACATATTTGTTAATTTATGATCTGCTATAAGAAAAAAATTCATGAGATTCAATGGCTTGCAACTAATTGTTCCTAAGCCAAGAGTCCTGGAGTCCTAAAGTCCTTGTCGCCATTATACCTAAGGACTTCTGGTTAAAAAAGATTTTGTTCCTTTTACCTAAAAGGTGTTTTTTTTTTTTTTTTTCCTATTAGTAGTCCATAAACTTTTTTATATTTTTAGAGCTCCTGGATACCAAAAACTAGCCAGAAGTAATCTTTTTGTGACTTTTAAATCTAGAGTCCTTTTTGAAACTCCGCATCCCTGATAAGTTTATATATACAGGGCTATTCTAAGCTGTTTATGACAGCGCCAAATGTATTTAGACGCCCAAATTAAAAATTGAGGACTTCTGGTAAGTTTCTCTGGGATGGGGGGTACCGTTGCCCGAATTTTTTTCTTAGAGTAACCCCTGATATATATATATATATATATATATATATATATATATATATATATATATATATATATATATATATATATATATATATATATATATATATATATATATATATATATATATATATATATATATATATATATATATATATATATATATATATATATATATGAACTCAAATTTAAGGAAGGTATCCATATTGAGATGGAAAAACCTCTTCTTAATACACAATTAAAATCAACACTATTACTATAGCTATATATTTTCTCAATTATCATACTTTTTATTTCCCACTTTGTTTGTTAATAATTATTTCACACTTTTTCTATAATCTTTTTTATAAAATTTCATGGTAGTTATTTATTTTATGTAACTATGGTAACTATTGTAAAAACTATTAAATTTTTAATTTAGCCCAAAAAATTGTTAAATACAGAAATTGAAACTAATTTATTATACCTGATGATGTCAATTGATATTGATAAAACATCTTGTTAAAAATTTTTTTAAAAATTGTTATTTATTTGAAAAATATTATTTTGCCGACTTTTTTGCAAGTTTGCAAAAAAATCGGCAAAATTTTTTTAAATAAAAATTTTTTGGTCGAATTAGTTTCGAATCGGTTTCATAAGGTATGTCACGTTTGTGTGAACCAACAACTTGAGATTTCACATCTACTACTTTACGAACTTCCATAAATTTATTTAATAAATAATTAGTTGCATTTCAACAAGGAAACTTTAGGGAACATGCAGTGATATCAATATATTAAGTCATTTTTTACATATTTAATATCAATAAGTAGAGTCATTTTTTCTAAAGACAATTAATTCATGAAAAATTATGTTTGACAACATTGATTGTCACTTGTTGTATTTATTACAGGAAATCTAATAACACTAAGCACTTCTATGGAACAGAAGCCAACGTTTTTTTAAAGTGAGAACTTTTATTTTAATGATAAAAAAATACTAATATGGTTGTTTACCTTATTTACCTTCTGAAGTAATATGAGTTTCATCAAGCATTAAGTTTACAGTTTTTTTTTATTGGTTAAAGATCATTCTTTTTTCAAGATTTTATTTTCATTATTTATTCCAGTAGATACTGATATTAAATTTGATTAGCCTTCGAAGAGTAGCATTTGATGACAATGTCGAAGTTTTATCAAATAAAATCATCTCATAGCATTTTTTACTACTTGTATACCACAACAATTAAGTAACAATGAGTTTGTTGTTGTATCTTTTACTTTGGCACTTGAAAAGGTTCTTTAGATGAAAACATCAAAGTTCAAATTTTGATATATGACAACAAGTTGTTTGACATTTTTTTGATTCTTCACTGATGAAGAGAATAGCTTACAATATCATAAACAATAAATATATTAAGATGGAGCTTTTGGATTTTGCTTTCAATCTTTTTAGTTAACTCTTCAAATGGTTTAACAGCATTTTTAAATTGGAGAATTTCTAAATCAGTTGTTATTACATTGTTTTTCCTGTTTAATTGAGATATCCAAGAAGTAAAATAGTTTAACATGGCACTATGTGGTTATGTATAGTTTTACAATACTTAAACTTTGCAAAGAAGGAAATACTGATGGTACAACTTCATATCTTAACTTCCTTTCTAGTTTTTTTTTTTCAAATCGATTTGCTTGTGACTTCTGTTATAATAAAAATGAAGTTGCTTGTGACTTCTGTTAGATGTATTAGCTTTTAGATTTTCGATCAGGATCTGTAACCTTCCAAAATTTACATTCATAAGCACAGTATCTTATTACCATGTTAATTATTATTTAATGTATTGTGTCATTATTTGCACATACTTGAAGCCAGATTTGTTGTATATCTTTAAGTTAAGTTTTAAGGAATGAGGCTATTGTATGTTAAACTGGCGATTACTAGCTCTTTTGATTTAAACTTTCTTTTAACCTGACTTGTTTTGAACTTATTCTTAAAAAAGTTCATAAGTAGTCCTAAGTTTTATTTATATTAAATTTTTATGACTTCATAATTGCATTTCTTTGCGTGCTATTACAAGAATAGAAAGTAAATTATATATTTAACATTGTTTATTAAATATTTGATTTGATATTATATTAAAGTATATTTTTAAAATATGAGATAATCTAAAAAAATCTTTTCTGAATTTATTTTAGCAAAATAAGTAAATTTAAAAGTCTTTTTACTAATTAAAAATGTTTAAACAAATTTTCGCGACTCAATATATAGATAAAATAATTTTTTAGTAACCAGTTGTTAAAATAGTTTTTAAATATTTTATAAAATGCAGCAGTATGAACCAAATGACAATTTTATTAAAAATGCTAAATATATATTTAAAAATACAATTATCATTTGCGTCTTGTGAATCTTGTGAAGGATCACCAAAATTATTGCATAAATTTCACTCTAAATAAAAGTTTTTCTTTCGGAAAAAAAGCTGCAATTATTTATTTAAATAAGTTTAAATATATTAATATAAACTTATAGTTATTTCAAAATTTCACATGTTTTTGTCGTATTTATAATATTTAATAGCATTATACTATAATAGTATATAAGTAGTATTAATAATATTTAAATATTAATTTCAAGTTATTTTAAAATTTTACATGTTTTTGTATTTTAAGAAATAAATTTTATTTTATAATTTTAATAGCTATTACAAAAATAGCACTGTAACAAAAAAAAAAGATTGTAATAACTTATTTATTAAATATCTACTAGCATAAATAAAATTTTGGGTTTTTCTTGCTTGAATTTTTTTTCGGTTCAAACCAAAAATGTTTGACAAGAAATAGGCATCTGATTAAAATTTGAGCTAAGATATTTCCAAAAGTTCCAATCTAAGTTATTTGTATCTCTAAACTGAATTACTTTTTTAATGACATTAAAATTCTTGTAACCTTTTTAATTTTATATGCTTTACTCTAAATTAAACCATCATTTTACTATTCTCTACACTTTACTACTGCCCAGTGTGATTTAAATAGGTAAATAAAATGCAAATGTGATTACACGAAAATACAACTGCTTTAAAAACCATAATTTGAAACCAACTGTCTTTAGCTCTTTTATTATCAACCATAATTTAGAATGCAAATGTCTATTTAATTGCCAGAGGCCCCTAATTGAATATTTAAATATGGATTTTTTCCAAACCTGGCTGCAATTTTAACTAAACAATAATATAAACACACACACAAATATATATATATATATATATATATATATATATATATATTATTATTATTATTATTATTATTATTATTTTTATAAATATATTTCAGACAACAGGCAGATACAATTTAGGTGCCAGGTCCATATTTTTTACAAAAAAAGTATTTTTTTAAACTTTGATCAAGTGAACGCATGGAATTATTCACTAAGGAACAAGCCATCAACTGTTTACAAAAAGCATGTTTGTAGTTTGAGATAATTGTGTAAAAAGATGGTAATCTGTGCTCTAAAAGCATGAGAGATATACTATCATACTTGTTGTAACCAAAAACATTTTAGCACATTTTTTGTAGCAATACTGAAGGCTTGCCATCGTGCCAAGTTGTTTAAAAGATTTAACAAAAGCAATTTTACTGATATGCATAATTCTGGAAAGGAGTTTGATAAAATTTTTGATTTTTGACTTAAGTTAAACACCATACATACAGTTTTCTTTGTGTTAAAGGACATGTTAGTTAAGGAAGATTCTTTATTTGTAAAGCTAATTAGTTTTTGAAGAGAAAACCAAGATGTTGCAAATAAAAATTGTATTATATATATGAATATATATATATATATATATATATATATATATATATATATATATATATATATATATATATATATATATATATATATATATATATATATATATATATATATATATATATATATATATATATATATATATATATATATATATATATATATATATATATATATATATATATATATATATACTCAGTAATTGGTCAGCTTTATGTGAATAAAAACTTTAGCAGTTTTGCTAAAATTTTTATTCACGTAAAGTTAAGTTTTAATTTTTTTTTTATATATATATATATGTATAAAAATGTGAAGAGTAGAGTCAGAAAAACATAAAAATGGGATAGAATTTGGAAGCATTAATGTTTGAGAAAAGAAACACTTACTGTAAAAAAATGTGATTGGGACAGAAGTTCATGAGTTGGCAGCTATGTTGTTCCAACAATAGTTGCAATATATTTTTGTTCTTTTTCTGCAAAAGAAAAGTTATTATTAAAAGAACCAGTCCAAGTATAACAACAGTGTTCCATGCAAAGATGGAAAAGAGATTAATAGAGATTGAAAAAATTGCTAACTTTGCTTTTATTTTTATTTAGCAGTGTTCAGAGTTTTGTTAGGCTTCAAGTTAATCAACTATTTCAGGCCCCAAGCTGTCAAAACAACAAATTTCAAAAAAACAAAAAAAAAACAAGTTGGCTATGGATCAAAGTTCTAAGGTTTATTTTCTAAGTGATCAAAAAGTTAAGACTTTTTGTCAAAATTGAAGATTTAAGCCATCAGAGATAAGATTATTAGGAAGATCCTTTATATAAATGAGAAACAACCAGGACCAAAAATGAATTTTTGTAGTACCCTATATTAATTTTAATGTAGGAATAGTTGTTAAGGGTAACTTTAATACTTTGATTGTAATTAAATGATTCAATAGTTTTAAAAACATTCCCAATTGGCCATAAAAAGAGAGCTTCTGTAGGTGATCTGCACACCAAACTTAATTAAAAGCTTTTGCCATGTCAAAAGTTTTTGCTTCATCTAATCCAAAATATAACTTTGTAAAAGGAATTTACGCAGGAGAAAGGAAACATGAGTATAAACATAGTAACAGCTTAACTTCAAGTTTTTATTTTATTCTTAACCCTACATGGAAAATCATTAAAAATTTTATCTTCCATATAGTAAAACTATTTGTGTGGTAAACCCTATTCGATTTTTGGATGAAATAATTGCTAAAACCATTGTTTCTTGCCTAATTACGAGACTCCACAATGTTTGACATTTTCGAACCGCTAATATGTTACTCTTTTTATTACTTTTAACTTAATTTATAACTTTTATTTTAATTTTAAGTTATAACTTTTAATCTTAATTAGTTTATTAAATGAGTTTAACAAATTTATGCGCACCAAGTATTATAAGATTAAAGTTATTTTTGTTTTATTTTAGAATGATGACAACAGTGACCAATTTTCACTTTTTTTTATACGCAACCAATGTGGTTTTTATCAAGTTTTTTTCAAACAACTTATGGTTTTATTTGTACCAAAGTTTACACTACTAATCCGTATAAAAACAATTTTATCAATACTGGTAGCTCCATTCTCCCAAGAATTTATTCACTTTTTTTAAGGAAACAACGATAATAATGCCAATATTACTATAATTTATTTAATATATAGTATTAAAATGCTATACAAGAGATTTTTAATTGCTTGCGAGTGTCAAAGTTATCATTTTGTTGGTAGGACTGTGTTCTCATTTTAATTTCATAAAAATGTCAACTTTGTCATAAGAAAATTCTCATTTAAAAATGGAGTCATTTAAATTCAATACAATTGACAAATTGTTATGTCAAATTGTTTTTAAATTTAAAATTTAAAAACAATTTGACAAATTGTTATGTCAAATTGTTTTTAAATTTAAAATTTAAAAACAATTTGACATATTACTCGATAAGGTCATGCTTATTAAAAAGAATCTAAATACAACAATTATTTAGAATCTTTTAATAAGCATGAAAAAATTTTAAACTAAAGTTTTCATAACTTTTTCTATGCTTTAGGTTAATGTGTTAACAGTTTCTATATGTTATAGAATACTATTTGCAATGTATTAGTTCTGATATGTATATCAAAGTTTATAGTTAATATATTTTAGCTTAAATCATTTTTAAATTATGCTAATAGTACCTGATATGGCTTCAAAATAAACATTAAAAATATTCAACATACAAAAGAATAAGAAAAAAATTAAATACCTTAATTAAAATCACTAACTTTTGCCCTAAATTAAATATCTTTATAATACTCTTTAACTATGGTCAAGAGTTTTTAAAATTTGAAAATAGTTTTATGTAAATATTATGAAAATGAGAATAAAGTATTAACTTAGTTCAAGCGTCAATTTTTAAGCGTCAGTGCTAGTATGACTTCTCACTTTATAATGGTAAAATGTTTTTCACCACTTACACAGTGCTGGTCCATTTTGGCTGCGAGGAAGTGCTGTTTCCATCCTACCTTTAGTTGCAAAAACTAATTCTCAAGGAATTTCTTGCTAGTAACTTTTTAAGGTAATTTTTTTTTTTGTAATTTATAAGGTAATTTCAATTTTTGGTAATTTTTATGGTAATTTTAGTAAATTGTTAAAAGATTCTTAATATATAAACTTATTTAATTTATTTTTAAGATTTTACATTTAAAACTGTCTAAAAAAATACCTTAAGTTGAATGACTTTGTGACAATAATAATTCCGTTGCATTTGTTTTTCTCAATCATTTCTATATTGATGTACCGTAAGATTGGGTGGCTTTGGCCCATTTTGCATCTTAATGTCTATTGCATGAAAGCCACAAAAGTTATTTCCTCAAACACTAAGTACTTTTAGAAGTGCATAGAAAGGACAGTTAGAACTATCTGTCTCCCATTTGAAAATTATTTACCTGAAGTATCTTTTAGGTAATTTAAATAGTGGGCCAAAGTTGCCCTATGTGTAGGGTGACTTTGGCCCAACCCTGTAAAAAGGAACTAAAGGAAACAAAACAACAATAAAAACCACAATATTTAGGCAAAGAAAATAAATTTAAAAAATAAAGTGACAAAAAAAGATATAGAAACAAAGTTCTTGTGTACAGTAAATAAAATATAGGTACAAACTAAACAAGTATAGGTACTAAGTAAACAAAACAGTTTAGGTATAAAGTAAACAAAAATGACAAAAGTAATGTTTTAAAAAATTTAGTGAAAAAGTTCTGGAACTGAATAAATTTTCTTTGGTTTTTCAATAAAATTGACTATTTCAGACTGGGGGAAAAAACTTGCTCTGCTGGTAGTGACCATTTCCAGTTAAGTCCATTTTTTTTCATAATAGTAATTTCTGCTCCATTTTTTCGAAAGTTTTTTTAAAATTTTTCAGTAGTTTCATTAAATAATATTAGTTATTAAATTAATTAGTTATAAAGTTTACTAATTGATTAGCTAATTATAGATAACTCAAAATAAATAAACAAACCTGTCCAGGATTAACTCTCCATTGCATTTAAAAATTACATAACAATTCTCTACAAGATTTATTAATTTCTCTTTTACAAACATTTTTTGTTTTATCAATATTTTGAAAGTTCTTTTTGTCTAATGCTGAATGATCTAAAGATTCTGTATGACTTTCTACAACTAAACTTACATCTGCAAAAGTTAGATTAGAAGTCTCAGTAGTTCCAGTATTTGTACTTGGGCCTGTAAAATCAATGTTGTTGGTCTCAATTGTATTTATAATACTGATAGGTGTATCTACATTATTTGAATTTAATCTATTATTTTCATTTATAACACAAGATGATATATCTGTTGAACATAAGCTTTTACCTGGGACAGCACATACTTTACGTCGCTTTGGTTTTTTAGAACCATCTGAGGGATTATCCAGTGACTTACATAAATGATCTAAAAATGATTGGCTTACTAAATCAGTAGTTGAGTCTAAACCTACATTACAACATGGTAGTCGTGAAAGCACTTAAGACTTGTCTAATGGAAAAATTCCAGTTTTGTGAAAACCAGCTCTAAGGTTATCATTCCCATGTTCATTTAAGTTGGTAATTAAACGGTCTAAAAGTCTAGGAAATTCATCTTTAGGAAGAGAAGCAATTCTCCTTCCTTTTCCTTTCTCCTTCCTTTTCCTTTCTCCTTCCTTTTCCTTTCTCCTTCCTTTTCCTTTCTCCTTCCATTCACATAATATTTTGCGCCAGTTAGTCTTCATAGGTCTAAAGTAGGCAACATCTAATGGCTGCGTGAGATGTGTAGAGTTTGCTGGTAATGCCACAAATCCTATGTTATTGCTTTGACATGCATCCAGTACTGCAATGCTCAAATGTGAAGATACATTATTACCTATTCTTCTTCCTTGAGCCTTCTTGACACTTCTTCCTTGAGCCTTCTTAAGACTTGGAAGAAGTAAAGAGAAAAAACCAGTCCTCAAAGCATGTTGAGTCAAACCAACCACTTTTTGATCTGTTATAACGTGCTTTTGGTGGTCCATGTATTCCATAACGACTCAGCTTTGTAAACAACATAAGGTGGTAGCAATTCACCATTAGCATTGCCGCAAAACATTACAGAAAATGAGGTCTTTGTAGAATTAATGATTATCAGGTGATATATTACTTATTTCATTTGATAGATTTATAAAGTAGTTATCAATCACAGTCGTTCCTATTTCTGCTCTCTTTCGCTTTATGTTGCTTGCAAATCTTACTGTGAGTTCTGGATTTCTTTTTAAAAAAGATCGAATCCAATCACCACCTGGAAAATTATTTTTGAACTGAGGTATAATGACGCCTTTTTTCTCTAAATACCCTTTTACTATGCATCTTAAATCATATTTATCAACAGGAAAACCAAACTCAGATGATTTTATTGCATATGCCTTAAACATGTCTTCTTCTTTTAATGTAAATATTTGCTGACCACCATACATTTTAGGATATGTCTGTTTTATTTTATTTTTTAATGTTGATCTTTAATGTTGTATATCATATTTCAAAGCTGCTTGTCTTTGAGTAATTAAACCATTCTTTTTAATCTTTTAATGCATTGTCTAACTGTTTTTAAGTATAAGTAACATATTTTTTTCTTCCACGATTTGGCTTGTAATTTTGTGGCATATTTAAACTAAGAACTAAACAAATTTCACTATAATTTTATACTGATTTACTAATACAAACTGTTATACTGATTTTCTATTGCATTACTACTACAAAATTTTTCATTCTAACATAGTAACTACCATAATATCTATAAGTGATCACTAAAAAAGGTTTACTCTAATACATGGGGTGGCTTTAGCCCGGGCCAATGTATGTGGGCCAAAGACAACCTTTTTTTTTTTAACCTCAATTACAAAAAAGTAATTAACTGTTAAGCTTTCAAAACAAGATAGAATCAAACACTAATGTTCCAATAAAAAACCTTCTACAGGTACTGCTATCGATGTAAAAGTTTACACACCTAAAAAAATTCGGATTTTAGGTGCTTCTTCTAAAGTGCATTTTACAATAATATCACAAAGACTCGAGTTAAGTAAACTAAGTTAGACTAAATAAATAATAAATTTCCCACAATTTGCTACTGAACATCAACCGGCATACCTTGAGGTATTGATTTTAAACCATTTTTAAACAAAAATTTCGCTTGGGCTAAAGTCACCCAATCTTACGGTACTGTAATTTAATGCAGACAGTTTAAATAAATTTTTTGTAAACTTCAGTAAGAATCTAGTAAACAGAATAACTCCAGGAAATAAAAATTTTAATTCATATCTGAAAGAAATGGACTGTGTAATATATGAAGTTGAGGTATCGCCTGATTCACATTGGTTTTCCTTTAACCCTATAAAAACCAAGCAAGAGCAAGTACCCTATGGTAGTCAAAGTATTTTTTGATATTATTCAGTACTCTTCACTTATAATTGTTTTATTTAAAAATGGAATTTTTAATGACCTTTTAAACATAGTCTGAGTGGTTCTCTGATAGTGAGAAGGAAAAAAAAAGAAAGTGTATATATATATATATATATATATATATATATATATATATATATATATATATATATATATATATATATATATATATATATATATATATATATATATATATATATATATATATATATATATATATATATATATATACATGTATATGTATATGTATATGTAAATTTTTTATTTCATATTAATGATCAATATTTTTGCATTATTAAGGGTATTTCGCGCTTTTACAGCTTAATCTGATTTTGCTATAACGAATTATTTGCGCTTTTACAGATCATTGGCGTTTTTTCGGATTTCATTTTCTATAGCTAGGTTATAGAAAATTAAATTTAGCCTAAAAACATTTAGATGGAATTTCTAGATCTTTGAAACTAAAAAATTGTTTCGGTTCTGTTTTTAGAATTCAAAAATATAATACACTTTTTAGAAGACTGAAACATTTATATGACAAATGAAGATTTTACAAATGAAGATGTCTAAGATTAAAAAACTTTCAAAAAAACAAATCAAGTGGTGTTAATAATTTACATTCAGCTATTTTTTAAAGAATTGTGCATCAGCCTTCGCCATCCCACTTTTTGCATGTAAAAATAATGAAGGGTATAATCAGATGTAAACTTGAAATTTTTCTATATAAGTTCAAACTAATAGTCAAGCAACAGTACGGTTTTGTTAAAAATATATCACGCTCAACGAATCTACCTGAAACACTTGATTTTATTTCAACCGCCTAAGAGAATGGTAAACCTGTTAATGTTGTTTTTTTGATTTTGCCAGGGAATTTGACACAGTCAAATTTGACACATAAAAGTTGTTGCTTAATAATTAATTAACAGCTTATGAAATATTTGGTTGACAATACAATGGATCGAAGCATTTTTATAGGAAAGAAAACCAAAAAGTTGTGGAAATGTATCCTCTAGGGTAGAAATTAGTAGTGACCTGCCAGAGAGTTCAGTAATTGGACCACTCTTGTTTGTACTATTTATAAACGTTTTGCCTGGAACTCTAAAAAACCTAACCCAGGTGTATGCAGATGACACTAAAATTTTTAATTGTGAAAATGCTTTCCAGTGCATCAACTATTTCTTTGCAATCAGATTTTGATTTAGCTTTTAAGTGGACTCAAGACATGGTCATGCACTTTGGCCAGAATAAAAAAAAATCACCTCTTTATATCAATGAAAAAAAATACCACACTCACTGGCTCACATCTGCTACAGCAATTACTAATAGTACTATCGAAAGAAAAAAATTATCTCGGTAACATTTTCAGGAATTTTAAAAATCCTTTTTTCTTTATCAAAAACTCATCTTTTTTTTCCATGATCAACCCTATAAATTATAGTGTTTTTTTTAACGTAATTTAATAACGTTAAATAGGGTGAGTAGAAACAAATCTTTAACAACCCAAATGAAAATTTATTTACGTAAGAATTTTGTAATAATTAATTTCTTACGTCGGTATCACTTTAAATTAACAGGAAAATGAGTTCATTTGGCTAAACAGGCAGTTGCTATTCTA